CGAATTTGTATTATTTTCCTTAGTTGTATCAGCAGATGTTGTTGTTTTATCATTTGATGTTTGTTGTTCACCTGAATCACCAGCTGTTTGAGCTTCCATTTGTTCGGATGATGTTGTAGTTACAACATTTTTTTCACCTGATTCACTACCTGCATTAACGGGTGTTGATTCATTTTCACCTGTAACTTCCGACATTATAATTGAATTATAATTTTCTTTTGGATTCAATCTAAAACAAAAATGACATAAAAAAAAGTTTTATCCTACTAAGTAGGCAATGATTGCTTTTCTCAAATGCCGAAAAACAAAAAAAAAAAGAATAATCTATGAACACTACAATAAAGAAGAAGACTATGCGTTATCTAAATGTTAAAACTTTGACAATATCAACAATACAAATAATGATATGTAATCAATGGAAAATTTTATTCGCCATATTTTTCTTTATGTTGTTGTAAATATAAAGCCAAATTTTCAATTGGTTTAGCTGGACGATCACGTGCAAGTTGTGACATACCTTGAAGAAGTATAGGTACAACAGTTTGATCAAGATATGCACGTGTTGGTAATGTTGATAAATCAGCTTTTTGTTTATTAGTATTGGTTGTATCATCTTTTTGACTTTCACCATTTATTGATAAATCATTATTTACTTTTGTTGAATCGACTACTTGTTGTTCCATTGGTTCATTGGTTGATGTTTTATCACTATCAGTACCATTAACTGTCGATGATGGTTCATTTTCATTAGAATTTGTTGTTGTATTTTGTTCATTTTCAACAGTAGTATCCGACATATTCAATAAATAGATAAACAAAAAAAAACAGTTTAATAAATTTTCTTTTATTCGAATGATAGATACAAGGTGATAAATGAATGAACAAAGAAACGTGCCCGTTAGTTTGCCTTTCTTCTCATCGCCATTGTTGACCGAACATCAAATGACTTGTTGCTGGAGAGGTTTTTCAAAAATCTTTATTTAATTACAAAACTATGATTAATATAATTATTTTTTTCATATTTTACCATATTTATTTTTCTGCATGAGTATTTATTTATTCGACAATATGATTAAAGTTAGATGTCACTAAATATCGACAATACAATAAATTAATTAGTACGATTCGTTGTATGCATATGAACATGATTCAATGGCTAGAAAAATGATGTTTTTCACATTTTGACACAATTCTTTATATTATGATAAAGTCTTTCTTCAAGTGATTTTTTTGATACTTACATGATAGATACAGACGCTCCTTCGACTTCCGTGTATGAATACAAGCGTGTGATAAATTGGATATTCGTGAGACTAAACATTTTTAATTTGATCTGGACACAAAAAAGAATGTCATCTTGTTCACATCTATGATAGGAAAAAGAGTTATATTCGATTATATATTTATTTATTATTGAAGAAAGTATATTTTAAACGATAAATCAAATATATTAGCCGAGATATATTTTTCAGATTTCAAAGTTTTTCAATATGCATCACCAGACTTAACTTCAACACTATAATTGTAGACAAGAAATATTTTCATTGCTTTTGAAAGCATAACACATGGAAAGGAGGTCTTCATAGTTCAATGAAGAATCGTTCATTTTATCTAAATAGAAATAAGAAAGGTTTTGTCATTTTCATAAGAATCTAATATTTTTATCAGGTAACTAATTCTTCTTTTCATACATCTCAGGTTATATTTCTCTATTATGAAGAAAAATATGAAGAATCACAAAAAAGAATTGCACTTGGACATAGACTATAGTTTGTTACATGATACTGACAATTACGTAGTTGTTATTTTACGTTGTGAAAAGAAATTAGAAATTTTACGACATTAAAATATAAATTCGTCCATATAATGAGATTTTAATTGTTCCAGAATAATATAATAATTTATTATTGTAGTTCCGATGTTGTGAAGTTCGAAGTCACAGGCAGGCATCAAGAAATAGGCATTTTGTACAATCAATGGTACTTAATATAACAAGATCATTCTAGTCAATACAGTAAAAATAGTCGCACGTCAAAATTTTGAGCACTATTGATCGATCATGATATTTAATGACTTCTAAATTTGTGCCATTATTATTCTTATCTAGTGTTTGTCACTTAGCAATTTTTGGTTTTCTTTCCTTAATGGTTCTTGAGATATACGAGTTTCATTTATTTTCCAGAAAATACTGGCAATTTTTGATTGAAATGAGATAAAGACTTTTTATTCATCAAAATTTAGTTTTAACTCTCTCGTTTATGTTCAATATGAAATTAAAAAAATAACTCTGAATACTTACTGACACCACTATTTCACGAACGAGAATCACTTTTACAGTTTAAGATTCCTTTCAAAAAAAAAACATGTCTTATCATTAGTCTAGAAGTAAAACTTCCATTTTAAAAATTTTAGCACATATTCTACAATGTCATTAGATTATTTACAAAAAAATGTAAAAGTTAATTATTCGATATTTTGAGAACTTTATTGAAATGAGCAGCCATTATGTTGAAGCATGCTTTGCGCAGTAATAGTGAGAAACGAAGAGTCGTCTAATATGCCATCTATTCTATAATTAATGCCCGTGATAATCATATAAGAAAATAATAACGAAAATGTAAGGACAAAGTATTCATAGATAAAGTATTGTTAGAAAGGCTTCAAACGCTCAACCTAACCTCAAGTTATACCATCTATTTTTTTATTCTTTTTCACTTTTCATATACTTGCAAACAAAATGATGTACATATTTGAGATCAGCAGATAACATTATATCATCACATTCCAATATTTTTTTCTTTTTAAACAATTATTCAAACACTAAGAAATTTGAAAAGTTAGCATACTTCATAAGGCACGTTGTTACTCAAAGGATCTTGTCAAATTTTGTGACCTATCTTGAACCAGGAAACTAAATATGTAGCTTTGTGGAGTAATTTGCGATACATCGAGTGGTATATGAGAAATTAAGTGTTATGAAAATTTTCATACGCTCAGAGTAGATATATTGGTTGTAATACTTCGAGAATATTATAGTGGTCATAAATTATTTGGTTCTTAAGGTGAACTTAATTAAACTTTGCTTTTAAATTCAGTTTGGTACAGTTATAGATACTCTTCAATTGTCTATAATCAATAGTTTTCATTGTTATTTTCTTCTTACTTAAAAACGATCCATTTTCTAAAGTTTAGATTATCTCTTGACTAAATTATATTCCAGTGTGTTCAAGTCTGTGCCACAGAACAAATGAGTACTAATCTGAAACCTTCTCAAAAAATTGCAAACTATCGAGCCCTATATGTTTCACAAATAACATCATTTGGAACAATAAAGGATTCACTGTCAACTTGCAACATTGTCCTCTAGAATAGCATAATTTTCTATAAGAAACAGCCGGTATATTGATGAAATTCGGACAATACTCAACGATTCTATTAAAAATTTTGGCACAGCAATAATTAACATAGTATGTATCCATGATGAAGCGATACTAATAACTTTTTTCATTAACGGAAAACATTTTTGGTTTCTAGATTTCAGAAGGAACGGTACGAGAATATCAAAAAATTTATGTTTGAAATGAACATAACATATTTATAGATTCTTCTGGAGTTTCATGCGTAAATCAAATCTAGATGCTCGGAAAAAAATTTGATAAAGAAATAGTGGACCTCCTTCCGACAACTCTACATCCGTATTCCTCTCTAGGGTTCTGGAAGTCAAAAGAAATTTTTTCCATTTATAACAGAGTTACTTATATCAGTTCATTAGGAATGCTTTGCTGATTATTAATGCATGAAAAGTTTTTTATAAGTACTTTGATTATTGTTAAATTATTATCAATATATCGGTTCCTGCACATAGGAAAATGGGCTCCTTTAGAGGACAACCTTGCAAGTTGACAATGAGTCCCTGCTGTTTCGAAAGGTGTTAGTTGTGAAACATATAGAGCTCGATAGTTTGCAAGTTTTAAGAAACTTTCGAGTTAGTACTCACTTGTTTTGTGGCATAGACTTAAACACACTGGAATATCATTTAGTCAAGAAATAGCTTAGATCTTAGAAAAAAAAGAGCCATTTTCAAATATGATGAAAGTAATGATAAAAACTGTTAATCGTAGAAAATTGAAGAGTATCTATAGCTGTATTGAACTGAGGTTAAAAACGGAATTTGCTCAAGTTCGTCTTAGGGACCAAATGATTAAAGATTACCCTATAATATCTTCGAAGCATCAAATATAATATATCGACCGTTAGCATATGAAAGTTTTATTAAATTTGATTTCTTATATATCATACGATGCATCGCAAATTGTTTTACAAAGCCACATATATGATATTGTTGTTCAAGACAAGTCATCAAGTCCAGAGAAATCCTTTAAGCTCGTTGATATGAGCGATAAAATATTTCTTAATATCCAAAATGCATTGATGCAAGATCAACAATTATTTGAAAAAAATCTTGAGATATTTCTTCAGTTTTTTGCTAGACGATCTATTGATATATTATTTATGAGAAAAGTAGAGTCACCAAATATGAATGAAATCTAACCAAGATGAAAATTAAGTTTAGTAGTTCGAAAATTCTTTGCTAATCAATCTTTTGGAAAAAAATCATAGGTGCTGAAACTGATTTAGGGTTACTGTCATTTTCTGTCTTGAATAAAAAAGTAATAGAGCACGTAATTTTTTTTGTGTTTTTGATAGTTTTAAAGAAAGAACAACAATGACAACATAAAAGAAGGCACAATTACATTCACGCACAAGAAAAATATATATCAATGAAAGACAACACGAATAAGACAGCAATTTTCAGTTCACAATATACGAAAATCATATTGAAGAAATATTTTGTTTGATTTCGAAGATGTAAAATGGACATGAGCAAAGAATAATAATAGCAACAGTCACAAAAAAAAGAAATGCATTGCATGGAACAAAAAAATACGAAAACATCAATTACATTCAATAGATTGAGTAAATGATTATTCACATTAATATTATTTACGTAAATTGGCTCTAAAAATAGAGGAAGAAAAAAAAAAGAAAATATCATTTTATTATAGTTCAAAGTATTCTTACTTATTTCCATCACTACCATTCGATTGATTTGATACTGTATTTGGTACACCTGCTGAAGCAGCAACATTTACTGTAGTTGCTGCCGGAGCTCCACTAGGTTGAGTTTTATTTGCTGGAGTAGCAGCAGGAGTTGTTGGATTTTCACCCTTATGAGCTGAATCATCAGAATCATATTCATCTTCACTACTACTCGATGATGTTCGAAAATAATTGTCTTTAACAAAATGAAATATTCCACTAAAAATAAAAATACAATAGAAATCAATAAAAAACAAAAGAACTTTCTTTCTTACGTTTTCTTTGGTACTGGATTTGGTGCATTTTGTAAAAGATTACGATAATTTTCGGATTGAAGAAAACGTGGATAACTATTTTTTTTCATTAATTCGATAATATGTTTTTCAGCTTCAAAAAATATTTCGCTAGAAAATATTTATAATGAATTAAAATAATAAAATTTTGCTTTTTTCGTGTAGAACTCACATTATGTTTTTCAAAAAGAAATTTTAGAAAGTTATAAATCGAGATTTTGTAGCTCCCACGTCACAATAAGTATGTTTTTCCTATCAATGGGGGAAGGGAAAGGCCAACGGTCATGGAGTGTATTTTCATAGCAAACAAGGTCAATATCACTGTTACTCATTTTTCAAAGTTTCTTGTCAACAGAAAAAGGTGCTGAATGATATTGGCAATAGCATTTAGATATTCCAAAGTCTGCCTCGCAATTCGAACAGCTGGAACACGTTTTTAATTTTTGGTTAGAAGAAAATTGATATTCAAGATGTTCAGAATGATAGTTAGTTATGCACGGGTTTACCACAGTCGTCATATGATCAACATAAAAAGCGCAAAATGATCAAGCTAATCAATATAAGTGTTTCTGAGTTTATCGAAATATATTATAGAGCCGTAAGACTTATTGTAGATATAATGAATACGTATACAAGGCTTATTAGCCAGTTAAACACAAAGGAGAGATATGGGAGTGATTGCTCGTTTCGTTCGAATTATTTTATGATTTTTGTCAGCAGAAAACACCGAAGAATGGATCGATACTACTTGTGTTTGAACTTGAAAACATGCTGTGTGACTATAATCGCCGCCATGTACCAAAATTCTAGATCCGTCACTGTTTTCATTTTAAGTATATACTATATTAGTATAATCAGACTGAAAAACATCGGTAAGTTCCACATTTGAGCTCAATCCGAAGGAACTATACTGACAAAATTTTTCATTAGAATGTAAATCTTACCGATTAGGATTCTCCAATTGTTTGATAATTTTCGTTCGTATTGTATCGTTTATATTAACTTCTTGCGGTGCATTCGGTGCTAAATGTTCACTAATAAATGAACAAGACACAAAAAATACTATTGAAATGAATCGTTTATATTTTCCTAACCGATAGACAACTTCAGCTTTTTGTTTCATTTGTGATAATGGACAATTTCGTATGTCTTGAACGTGTAAATAAAAATTGAGACTTTCAGTAGAAAAATCAGCTTTACAAAATTTCATAAATTCACGAACACCAGTTGGATCGGAAAGAAGCTCTTTACAATTAAATGACCAACGACGAACACGAAGTTGTGTAGGATTTTCAACTCTGAATATATAAAAGATTTCTATTATTCTATTCATTAAAAACAAATCAAAAGCATACAAAGGTTGCATTAAATTCCATCGATCTGTATCTGATGTTAACCATGGATTGGACGGTGCACAATGTCCCAAAAATGGATCATAATCACTCAAGACTTCAAAGAACGCACACAAACTAAAATAAAATAAAATACAAAATGATTTAAAGTTCTTTTTTCCTCAAATACATGTAATAACTATCTGGCAACATAAAGCAATAGGGTATAAACATTTAAAAAAAAAGAGACAGAACAAGGCAACATCGATCGGCTTGGAAAGGACATATAATAGAAGAATTAAAACCTTTGATGTGTTTGTGATGATTTTGTGCGTACTCGATTTGTTAATGCCTGTTGTAGATATTCAAGCTGAAACAATTTTTGAGTTCAATTATTTTTTAAATCCTTTTCTTGTTCTATCTAAAATGATAGTAATAATATCAATTAACTTACACGACGTTTTAATGCTTCATCACGTCTCATTGGTCGAGATGTATATAAATCATTACGAATATCCATTTCCAAAACAGATGTTTCATCCGGCTAGAAATAACCGATAAATATTAGCAAAATACTAATAGATAATCCATAAAGAATAACATTTTTAGTATGTTTGAATTTTCTCTCTTATTATCCCTTTCATAGAAACATTTCTCTGATCAAAAGATAACGCTTGAAATTCTGCGCAATATGATATAACTTATTTAACGAGTATAGTTTCCTTCATGGTTTTCGATGAAACGAAATAGTACAATAAAATCAAGTACAAAATGTAAAAATGTTTGCTTTAATTTGTTTTACAGTGCGTTTTGTTTTATCTATTAATGTTGCTTTTATGCTTATGTGGTTGCATTTGAACGTCTCAATCGTTTCATTCCATGAACTATGATCTAGTAGTCAGAAATCAAATGAATTTGGTAGTCAACGATTTTTCGGAATGAATGCAGAACAATGATCAGCACAGTATTTTTTGGGGGCTAAGTGATGCTACTGAGGTAGGAAACACTCTCTGCAACCTTTTCTAGCTAGAACCAAAATTTGCCAGCGCTACTACGGATAAATCGTTGGTAATTTGTACAAACGTACGACAATGAGTATCTTTCTGCCTCATTTGTTTTATCGTCTAAAAATCACTGGTACGGCCAGCTCTTGTCTACATGCATCTGGCCATACCGTCAGCTTTGCCAGGTATTTTGTTTTTACATGAATAGTATCCTTCTTGTCAGTCTCTACCTGTTTACAGTTTCCTTCTCATTGTTGTGAGAATTGTCATTAGTTTATGCAATGAGTTGATTGAAGCTATGAATTAGAACTACATAACAGAAAAAGCAGCACTGTTAGACGACATAAAACATTCGGTCGATAACTTTTACATTCTGCACTTGACTTCACTGTACAATTATGTTTAATCAAAAACCAATGAAAGACACGATACTCGTTAAAATAAATTACATCATTTTGTGCCGAGTTTCAAATGCTTCTTTTTAATATAAACAAGTATTTCAATTAAGCGAATAATAAAGGAGAAAAATTCAAATATAGTAACAATTGTATTATTTATGAGCTACCTGTTATATAAAATAAAAACTTACCGAAGGACGCATAACACGCCAAAATGCTCGTTCTTGACTATCTATTATGGTTTTGTCCGTTTTTTTACGATCCTTAAGTACACTATCAAAAAATAAAAGATTAATTTTTTAATTTCAAACTTTAATTTCATGTCGAATCTTACCGAAATTGAGCTTCAGCTTGCATTGTAACAAAATCCCATTGATGAAGTAATTTCTTTTTTAAATCTTCTAATGCACGCTAAGAAAAAGAAATAAATAAGTAAAGAAAAAAATTAAGATTATTTATTTAATAGATCAACAGACTATTTCATGTTCTTCAAGACCATGTCGTTGACGATTTCTTAATGTTCGTTTCATTAAATAAATAGCTAAAATAAAATAAATTAATCGTCTGTAAGAAAAAAAAAACATTCTTCTTTAATTAACCATATTCTGTATTTCCTGTAGTCCAATTTGTTGAAACCCAAAAATATGGTGCTTGAAAACGAAATAATTCATTGTCTTCTTTAATTTGTACAGCTCCATTTGTTGTTACATGAAAAAAATAACCATAATAGCACAATAATGAAGCAAGATGAAGTGCTTCAGCTAAACAATAAGAAACAATTGATTTGATAATTGTTTTATTTTTAACAATAAAATAAATCATTTTACGTACCAGAATCTTTTACATTTAATTTTTGCATAATCCATTCTGTTATATCATTACCCGTAAATGCATTTGGAACTGTTGTGAGAAATAATTTTTGACTACGAACAGGTACACCTGCTGTTGGATGTTGCATGGCTTTAACAATACGTTCCATACGTTGAAATTGAAGTGAACGTGGTAAACCTTTTCGTTGAGAATTAGTTGTTATTTCCATTTATATTGATTTTATTTTCTGAAAGTATATGAAACAAAATCATAATATAAATGTATTATTAAATGGTATATTTTTTTTTTGTGTTTGTTTTCATAGATAATAAGAGCATGATACATAAAAGTTATTATTCAATATACATAAGAATAGTATTAGATACCAAGAAGAAAGAAAGAAAAAACAAATATTATTATTGAGATACAAATTGAGAATAGGAACAATTTTTGCTACAAGACATAATAAATAGTAGAGAGGAAAAAAGCCGCCCCAATAAACAAGAAATGAAACATCTGACAAAAAAAAGCACGAGTTTTTTTAAAGTCATGCCATATGCTTTTTTGCTCTGTTTTTTTTTACAAAACAAATCAGCATATGTTAAGAAGTATAAATAAAAAGAAAGAAAAAGAAGCAGAAGAAAAAATATTTGTTCATCACTTTATCATTGTATTATCGATTAGTGCATTTTTAATTTCGTCTTATTTTTTAAAGAATGCGCAAATAAAAGAAAACTACTAGAGTGACGCACACACACACACACACGAACACAGACAGAAAACAACATTGATATGCCGTAGAAAAATAGCAATGTAAAAGAGATGGACAATAAAAGAGATTAAATTTTTGTATGTTGTTGATTATCAAGAATAGCATTAAGAATTTCTTGTTTAGCTTTTTCAATATCTTTACGTATTTCATTTAATATATCTATTTTGAGTTTTTCCAAATCAGTTGATATATAATTTGTTTCAGTTGTTTTTCGTCCAACACGTGGTGATGTTGTTACAGGTCCAGCTGTTGCCGGTGGTAAATTTGTTGTTGTTGCTGTTATTTTTGATGGAGTTTTATTATTAACTGAATTATTTGATTCATTTTTTTCATTTTCATCAATATATTTACGTCGTTGAGCAAATTTCGCTGCCATTTCAGACATTAAATCCATTTGTGGAACATTTGTTGTTGTACTTGTTTTTCGTCCTGTGTTAGTATTACCAGCACCATTAGTATTAGAAAGTAATAATGTAGGTGCAGGTGGTGAACCATTACCAAAACCATTGGGTAATGGAGGTGGTGGTGGTGGAGGTGGTGGAACACTATTAGAAGTAGATATTGTTGAATTTAATGGTGGTGCTGGTGGTATACTATTATTTTTATTAGTAGAATTATCACCATAATATGAATATGAATCTGATATAAGAGCATAATTTGTTTCCTCCTCTTCATTTGATTGATGTTGTTGACTATAATAATTATTATTTATTGCAGATTGTGTTGATATTAAAGAATTTGAATTTTGACGCAAATGGCTAGCATAAGGTGATGATGAATATTGTTGCTGTTGTTGTGCATCAGAAATCGACGATGAGGAGGAAGTACAATTGACAGGTACCATCATCGTTGCTGTCGGTGGAAGTGTTGAAGGAGGTTGACTGGATTGACGTTTATATGATGGCATATTATTATTCATTGAAGATGATGATGATGATGGAAGAGTTGCTCCACCATTATTGATCATTTGAGTTGATACATTATTAGTAGAACCATTAACATTTTCAAGAATTTTCATCATTGTTATACCAAATTCTTGTGCATCAAGTTTAGATGAAAAATTTAAGCCATAAACAGATGATTGATCACGCCATTGATGAAATGTCGGTGTTGCTTGATTATATTTAATACCTTTACTTATTGAATGATTTAAAACAACTTCATGATCTTGTATTTGTCGACCAACAATACGATATGTTTGAGTTTCACATGAATATAATAATTGAATTTTAGCTGGACCATTTGATGCACAATGTAACCATTTTTTTTGTATATCATTATAAATCATTGCTGTTGCTTTACAACTTGTTAAAATATCTTCTTTAGGATTATTACCTACCATTATTGATCGAGATTTTTTATTATTACTAAATAAATATGATATAGATGAGAATGGTAGAGACTAGAAAAGAAAAGTAAGAAGATATTTATAGATGAATATATCATATTGTTCAGTGTTGACAAATTTCTTATCGATTATACATTGAATACGTTTTTACGAATATGATGATGAGCCTATGGGCAATTTGCTTCCTGTCAACATATTCTTGCCAAAATAAGCTCATCTTACTTATTCTTTTTCACTTGACGCAATAGGAACAATACATAAGTATATGCGAATACTAAGAACAATATCAGATGACAGGATCAATATACACTGAACTAGTAGCATCATCTTGAAAACATATCTTTCTATTTCTTTTTCTCTTTGTTGGCTATTTATAAAGTACTACAGACTTGCGTACATTGATCATTACTCTCATGCTTTTTTTTTTGTATGTACAACAAGAAAAAAAAAAGATGAGATATCACTATGCTTACTTGTATAAGAAATAATAGTTTGAATAGAGTAATGATTCTTGAGAAATCTACTCCATGCATTCATATATATATATATAGACAAAGGCAAAAAAATACTTGATCATTCGCTTCTGTTTTTGTCTTTTATTTATTCCTCTACATGTCAATATTTATCAAATTTTATGGAACAACAAATTAGAAAGTTAATGATCGATGACAATATTGATAGAAATGCATAAGCAGACTTTTCATTTGACATCGAAGAAGTCTTTTGAATAAAATCATAGATGTGCTAGATGATTTTTACGAAACGTGCGTGGACAGAAATGATAACTTGTGTTTCTTTTCTATTCTCTTCATGCTAAGATATGAAGCAAAGATCACGTTTTAAAAAAATCAATCAATTATATATTTATATATGTATTCGTTTCTGACATTCAATAGTAATATAACAAGTAATCAAAAAAGTAACTAGACAAAATGATCATTCAATTTTTAACCTTCTTAGGAAGCCAGCAGAAATTTGAAAACATTGGATTAGAATATGAATTTTGTGTTCTTTTCAAATATGGTTTCAACATTGTTGTAAGACTTCTGAACCGACCTTTTAGAAGTCCTTAAATTTAGGTGGAGAAGATTGAAAATTTTTTTTTCTGCATATGCTATATTATCAATTTGTTTGCATAAAATTAAATGCAACATTATTCTCTACAAAGTGATATGAGAATCAAGAGTTTCAGCACAATTATTAAGAAATGATCGAACTAACACATTACAAATCACTTTTCTATAGACATTGAGAATATTAAAATACTCGCTGATTGAGTTCAAACTCTGTGCATACGCTACACTCCAGTGAGTTATAAAAAAACTCCAAAAGAACAAGTTCACTTTGATCTTCTCTCAAGAGTTATAGGTATTTAACTCGAGTTTTAGCCCGCGGCATGTTATACATCACTAAATGGAATGATGCTATTGAGACCTGTAATTCCATTTAACGATAGGTATATTTGTAGATAAACAAAAGATGCTAAAATTTTCAAGGTATTCTACTCACAAAATGATCTCTCTATGGATGAAACTACAGGTAGAAATACTATTATTAGATTTACTGGTATATATTATGCTATAGTCTAAAACGCCAGCTAAATGTTTATAACTCTAGACAGAAAGCCTAAGAGAATTTATCCTTTTGGGATCTGCTTGATGTACAAAGTCGGAACTCAACAGTGATTAATCAGTTGAAAACGTGCTCTTGTCAGAACTAAGTAATCATTCATATATACCATTTTATATTGAGAAATATTTGTTTTTTCATTCGCTGTATTTGAAATAAGTTTTGTATCTACTTTAGGCACTGTTTGAAGTGCTGAAGTTCGTTCACACATATTTTATCGACTTATAAAAGGTCGATGCATAATTTCTAAACTAAAAGTCTTACAAAAAATTTGAATTCATATTTGAAAAGGACACAAAGTTCTGATTACAATAAGTTCCTTAAAAAAGCTTTAGAAAAATCATCGAACATTTATAATCTATTTACTTTTAGATCACCTGTTATTTAGACTACTTCATATCTATATGATTATAAAATATTATTATTAAGAGATGATTTTAATTCAGATAAGAACTATTTAGCATCACATATTCTTTTACTTTTCATCAAAATCACGATTTTATTATATAAAGAATTGACTAGAGATATATCTATTCTTGTCTATGAAACACTGTCAATAAAACATTACACACATACCTGATAAATACAAAAGAATCACAAACAAATTTCACTTTAATTCTATAAAGAAAAGAAAAGCGACAAAATTTTGATTTTTTTTTTTGAATCATCTTTTCTTACCATAGAAAAAAAAAGATTTCATAAAATGAATATCCTTTCTTGGACTCTAAGACAACTTCTTATAGTCATCTAAAAGAAGAATTTGTAAAGCAATTAAATTAAATGAACATCTGCTCTAATGTTCAACAAACGAAAATTTATTGACATGACCTCTTTATTTATTCTATTGGGTGTAATCCTTTTGAAAAAGAATTTATTCTTTATAGAACAAAAGTTTAATGATAAAAAAAATTAATTAAACAATAATTTATAAATTATATATATATTTACATATTATATTGAATAACAAATATGCATAGATATGTTAAAGAATAGAATCCGAGAGGTATTCATCTTTATTTTTATTGGTTAAATAGATGTCAACCAGTATATTGACCGTAGAAATGATGATGAAAAAAAAAACGAGTGAAAAAAGGATGCGACGTTAGACAACTGACGATTATTTCATGACTTTGTTTAAAATGGTTTTTTTATTTTATTTTAGATAGATTACAATAAAATAAAATCTATCTTTTGAATGAAGAAACGACGTCGAATTGAATCCAAATAAAAAAAAATAATATGTCAGCAGTTGTGACTATTCGTCAAACAACAAATACAACAATGAATACAAATAATAATAATAATAATAATAATGATAATAATAATAATAATACACAAACACCTGTACGTTCATATGGTATAACACAACCAATATCAACAAAATTTCCTGATCCATTGGATATTATAGCAACAAAAAATCTTGAAGATACATTACGTTCATATGATTATTTTGAATCAAGTGAAGAATTATCACATCGTGTACAAGTTATGGCTAAATTAAATGTACTTGTACGAGAATGGATACGTAATGTTTCATTAGCAAAAAATGTACCACCAGAAATTGCTGATACTGTTGGTGGTCGTGTACATACATTTGGTTCATATCGACTAGGTGTTCATTCAAAAGGTATTTAAAATAAATTTCAGGAGATATAAAATTTACTAATAAAACAAATCATAACCTGAAATAGATCACAATCTAAAGAAATAATGTACTAATTAACCTTCTCAATATGTATATTAACCATGATTACAGTACTTTAATGCTCATGTAGAGTTTTGAAATGCAGAGATCATCAAAAAGCATAGTATTTGGTTAAGATTAATTTGTTTTTATTACTCATTTAAAAATCATTTTCGACATGGAAATGGAAATCTTGCAGAGTTAACAATGTCATCAATTTAACTCTATGTATTCATATAATTATATTGTACCTTACAAATTTCATAGTCTTTTAAAATTTATCACTGTTCGATAGTAATTTTGCGTCGAAATGATGTCACCCATTGAGTATAAAAACAACAACATAATATTCATTAAGCCTGTCAATTTCCTTTTTTGATAAGTCATGGTAGATTGATAATGTGATCGAATACTCTATCATACTTTCGATAGGAAAGGAAAAAAAACAATGTGTGTGAGTCATTTTCGATTAGAAAAACAAAATACATTGTGATAATTGTAGAGACCATGCTTTTCTATTGTTGTCTTATTTGGTGTTGTATAAATAAACTTTAAAAAGTTGACTTTCATGAGTTGTAGACAAAAGCAAAATTTTGACACTAATATTTAGGTAATTATTAAATTGATGATAGCAAATTTAAAGTACAGTATAGGTAGATTTCAGGTTAAATTTAGACTTTGGTTGACACCCTATATACGGTAGGAACTACAGTGAGATAGGAAAAATCTCAAAAGGATAAGTGTCCTTTGATTTTCTGTCCAGAGTTATTGGCATATCATTAGTATTTCAATCTGAGATTTTGTCCACAGAAAGGTCTACATGTGAGTAGAATGCCCTGAAAATTTAAGCTCGAAAATATGTTTCCTTCCTAAGATATTACAATTAGGGAACTGCAAAATGGTCCCGGTCCCGATCCCGGTCCTGCGGGACCAATTTCGGGACCAAAAATTATTTTTTACGGGACCGGGACTGAAACCATTTTTTAGCTGACCCCGAAAAATTATTTTGAATAAAACAAGAACTCAATTGTCTTTTCAAGTCGATTGATGATCAATAATTTCTTTTATTATTTCATAAAAAAAGACAAAAAACGATGTTTTCCAATATCTATTAACATTAACATGTTTACAATATTCACATATAGACAGATAATAGGCTATTTAGACGATTTATAAGAGCATAAACAGAAATATACACATTACACGACGTACATTTATGTGCGACACCGTAATAGATTTCTTAAAAATTTTTTTAATGTTCGCTATGAAAAAAACGGGACCGGGACTAAAAAAAATATCAACCGGAACCGGGACCAAAAAAACGTGGTCCCACAGTTCCCTAATTACAATGCCAAAAAGAGAAAACTTTAAGATCTTTAGTGGGCTATCAATGATTTCTGACACTCTATTATCTTGGGAAGGAGACATTTTTTTTGGGCTGAAAATGTCAAGACATTCCATTAACAAACAAAATTATCTGTGGATAAAACCTCAGGTCGGAATACTCTCGTTCAATCGCTTAGTACATACCATTCCAGAGACTAAACTTACAGTAAAATGCCTATAGTTTTGGATAGAAGGTCTAGGAGGACGGAGTAATTATTTCGAGATTTTTTACTATGTTATTCAAGTCTATCTTATACATAACGTTGAAATTCAAAAGCAATTAATCAGTTGAAAAATTGAAAATTTTTCTATTTGACAATCAAACAGTAATGATCTATATGCATTAGATGACAATTATCTTGTAATACGTGAGCTTTTGATTTTCTATTAGTTTATATCAATTGATTTTGAAATTCTTCATAATATGAACTAAAATCTTCTTTCAAACTAAAACACCATGGTCTTCTATTGTGGGTTAGTTTTCTTTTTGCTAACATTTATCTAGAAAATTAGAAGTTTTTGAAAAAATCTTCTCATCTATTCAAATAGACATTATTAGCAACTAAATGTTGGAAGATTGGATTTTTAATTTCTAAAACTTTTAAATCTACTGGATTTTCGACAAGAGATTTTGAAAGAGCCATAGCTTTCTATTATGCCTTGTGAAATTTTTCTTGTGAATTTACAAGAATAAAACAAAAAAACATAAGACCTTAGTTTATTCAATTTTTTTTTTGTTTTCTTAAACTAGGTGGTGATATTGACACTCTTCTTATTGCTCCAAGACATATTGATCGTACAGATTTTTTCACATCATTTGTTGAATATCTTCGTCGACAACCAGAAGTTCGTGATTTACGTGCCATTGAAGAAGCATATGTACCTGTTATTAAATTAACATTTGATGGTATTGAATTAGATATGTTATTTGCACGTTTGGCATTAGCAACTATACCAGATAATCTTGATTTGAAAGATGATAAAATTTTACATAATTTAGATCATCGTTGTGCACTTAGTTTAAATGGTTGTCGTGTAACAGATGAAATTCTTGATTTAGTACCTAATCGTGAAACATTTAAATCAACCTTACGAGCAATTAAATTATGGGCAAAAAAAAATGGTCTTTATAGTAATGCATTAGGTTTTTTTGGTGGTGTTACATGGGCTATGCTTGTTGCACGTATATGTCAATTATATCCGAATGCTGTTGCAGCAACATTAGTACATAAATTTTTTCTTGTTTATTCTCATTGGGAATGGCCAACACCTGTTTTACTTAAACCTGTTAATGATTGTCGTTATGGTTTTCCTGTTTGGGATCCAATGACAAATATATCTGATCGTAATCATTTAATGCCCATAATAACACCAGCTTATCCACAACAAAATTCAACACATAATGTAACACAATCAACACAAAAAATAATTATACAAGAAATAAAACGTAGTTTAGATATTGTTAATGAAATAATGGCATCAAAAATTGAATGGAAACAATTATTTATTGGTACACCATTTTTTCAACGTTATAGACATTATATTATATTATTATTATCTGCACCTGATCAAAATCAATTTCTTGAATGGAGTGGTTTAGTTGAAGCAAAAATTCGTATATTAATTGGAAATCTTGAAAGAAATTCATATATTGATATAGCACATGTTAGTTCGGATAAATATACACCAGATGAAAGTGTTGTTGATCAATTACAACAAACAAATAAAATATCAACAGAAAGTGATAGTACAAATCGAACGAATGGACATAAAAGTCCAGGTATGATTTTAAATTTTCTATTCTTGTCAAACAAAAATAAAACAAGAATATTATTTGTATATTGATCTTTTGTTTGACTGTTATAATTTGAATTTAACACAAATTTTGTATTATATTTTATAAAGATAATTTCAACAGAAAAAGATTTCTTTTTTTCAAAAGAATAATCGATAAGATTATATTCAGAACTCATGAAACAATATCTTGTGTGTCTATAAGATGAATCATTATTCCTCTGTAAAACACGTTCTATTAACTAATATGTTAACAGATTTATTTTCTTTTTTTTTAAAAATTCTATTCAAGTTATTGATTTGAAAACTATATATACAGAATGGGCTATATCTTTACGATAAAAACTTTAATTATCTTCATTCTACTCGAAGGTATCTGACTAATTATTCAAGCAATGATACTTGTTAAAGTATTTTTTTTTTTGTTCCTAAGAAAATCATTACCGAACACTGCTTTTGATTGTACACATTCACTTCAATATGTCTTGTAATCTTCCACGAGTTGTGGAAAAAAAAAACAAATGCAGATGAAATCATGCATAATTTTATGGATTCAATGTTGGATAGAAACGACAAAAGTCAAGATAACCTTTTTTCAAATAGTTAAAGTAGTGCATTCAAATGACTTACATTTTATTCAATATTAAAAAAACTATATATGTCGATGTTATTGAGATATAAGAGAATCTAATTTAAAATAGATCATCAAGTAGATGCGTTGAAAAACGAATGCATGCATAAATGATTCTATTTATATTAGCATAAAATGTTTTACTCCATATTGAGATAAATATCAGTAATTGAAAACATTGTTTATTAACAATTTTCTCATGAAAAATAGAACTTTGAATATTTCTCTATTATTGATAAAAAAAAGAGTTATATCAACAATACAAGAAAATGAAAGCTAAGTTCAATTATAATTGATAGTTGTAAATAAAAATAAAATTTCATTTTTCCTCAATAAATCGTTTCCTATAGACAAATCAAATCAATAGAATTTTTCTGACTAAATATTGTAATTGTTATATAATCATACAATTTAATATCTTTTATATATAATTATTCTAGAATCATCATCAACAAATTCAACACAGCAATCATTATCTCCATCGAATACACCAGTTACTTCACCTACATATAGTAGTATGTGGGTAGTAGGACTTCAATTTAAAAATGTTAATAAAGTTCAACTTGACTTAACTGAAGAAATTCGTTTATTTTTAAATGTTGTTTATAAATCATCAGCTAACAGTAACATGAATCGAGAAAATCTTAATCTTGATGCACGGTAAATAAATTGGGAAATTTTTCTTATTATCATATATGTTCTTTTTTATTTTCAATTAAATAGTTATATTCGTCGTCGTGATTTACATACAGTCCTACCAAAACATGCAGTATCAACAACTAATAATAATAATAATAGTCCTCGTTTATCAAAAACAATGTCGATTGATGATAAACTTGATACAAATACAAATTCACAAAGAAAGCGACCACTATTAAATTCAACATCATCTGATTCAGGTATTGTTGCTGATTCAGATAATGAGATAAAAATCAAACGACAAAAAATTGAAGAAATCAATGAATCATCTCCAAAAACATTAGAATCAAATTGTGATTCAATTTAATTGAAAGAAACCATTGAAATAATACTCCGATTGAGTATTATACTATTTCATTTCTGTCATTGGATGTATTCTCTTTGTTTGTTTATCTTTTCTATCTTGCTTCTCATCTTCTATTCCATTTTTTTTTCTTTCCATTAAGCAACAAAAAAGAAAAAGAAGCAAAAAGAACAAAGATTTTTTTTCTTTTTGTTTATCTCTTGTGTCTTGTCTATTGAAATTCTTCACTTCTGTTTTTTTCTTCGTCTATCTCTGTATTTTTTTTTGCTTGGTTCATCTGCTGTATATAAACATGCTTGAAGTACATATAACACAAAATGAACCCAAAAAAATTATAAAATTCTTAACTTAAACAAAAAAAATAAAACAGATGCAGATATATAGAAATATTTTTCATTGATTTATTGTCAAAGAATTAAATAATATTTATTGATTTATTTAAGGTCTCTCATCACTTCCAAAATTGATGTTCGATATAGTACTCGAGATTTCTTTGAAACTTTTCACAAATGTTAGTCACATAAAAGTAAACATACGAATTTTTTTTTTATTTCACTAAACCTCAGCATTGCAGATTTTTCCGAAAATCAAGACGCTAAACGGTTTGTCGACTCGCACAAATATTTCTTTAGTATACTTCAAAATATAGAATTCGGGATTGTTTTATTTGAAAGAGAACTGTTTGCTTTTTCGAATGATGGGAAAGGTGTTTTTTATATTGTTGCTCTCTTCAATTTTTGGGAAGCATTGAAACCTCTCAAATTTTGAAAAAACCACTAGAAGTTTTCAAAAACAAAACTAGAGTCTATTGAAAAAATTCCTTCACCTCATGTGCAGGAGCATAAAATGCTCCAATAAAGAACAAAAACGTCTCTCTCTACAATGAACTGTATTTGAAAAAAGATTTTGTCCGAAGTTTGATCATGAACACAAAAATTACTTTTCAAAGAAAGACCAGAGAAGTTTTTGTCTTAAATATCGTTTTAAATCGACATAAAAAGACAAATATTATATAACATTGGTACATACTCGTCAGAACGTATTGAATCGTACTTATCACGATATAATTAATGATTGATGATGTCTATTATCATAATTGTCATGATATGTATTCTAATGTTTAGTTCAACCAGCTCCAGAATTATTTTAAAAAGTTTCTGACAAAATCTTCCAGATTTATTACTATATTTGTCAAGTAAATATCTCCAGACGACATGGTCGTATCTTTTTATCTAAAACATCATTTTTTTTTTTTGATGAAAATCAACTTTGTGGAGGAAAAGGAATATCTTAATTCATCGATTTAGCTTGTTTGATGTTGGTTGAATATCATGCAGAGCATATTAACAAAACTATTCAAATTCAAAATGAAAGAGAACAATTGTTTGATACTAGAGTAGATTTTTTGTCAATGATACTCAAACATGTGTTCTATAATTGAATTCACTTCGATTGGAAAAGATCAGTTGCAATGATAATAGATGGTTATTCATATATTTGAGATCATTAAACCGACGAACACTCTTACTAGTTTTTTGAAGTTCATTAAATATAGGACGACTACAACCGCATATGTACATGTAATTATGAAAACGAAATATAAGTTTTGATTTTTTTCTCTTATATATTTTTATAATCATCTTCTGCTGTCAAAACTATATATTGTTATTTTGTGCGCATCATTCCGTGCTTAACTTTCGCCGTGCTCATCTTTCGTATACTTGATAATTTTCTTTAATAAGATGTTTCAATAAAAGCTTAAAGCTTGCATGTATTATAAAATATTCAAAAAATAACTTTACATGTTACGTGTTGCACTTTCATCGATTGTACTTTTTTTTCTCGAAATCTAATTTATATTTCGTTAAGTTCAAATCGTTATGCAAAGTAACCAGAAGTCATTTTATTGAGATTAAATATACTCAACAGGGCTCATCATAGATGATCTGGCCAGGACTTTATTTCTTTTTCTTTTGCAAGAAGGATTTCTCGCGTAAGATAACAGAAAAGTCTGATTTTTCAACATTGAATATAGATTTCATTAGATTTCAATCGTTCTTCGTCGATTTAAAAATAAAGAGTTTCAATTGATAAAACTACACATGAATCGATCAATACAGGCTCAAATCAATTGAAATCTATCTTTGAAGCTGAGCTTCTCTCATGAGTTCTGCACCTCTCAACTGGTACAATCAGGAGTCTTTATTATGCAAATGTTTTTGAAGTTTCGTTCAGTCCATTAACAAGAGAAAGCATTTATTCGGTTCAATAATATTCTTTATCCAAACATAAGATCGAGTTCACTATAAACTGCATTCAGCGGTATACATGATATTGAAGTGGAAAAGTGTTGATCGTACACCAAAAATAGTAATCGATATGACTCTTTGAAATTGGTCAGTAGGTATTTTATTCGTGAAAGTTTGTATTAATAAATGATGATCGTCAAGAAGTTGGAACACGCACGAATACATCTTGGATTTTCGGCTCAATAAGCAATTTGATTTATTTCTCTTGCTATTTTTCCAAGCATTAAAATTGTTCGACTTTCTTCCAATCGTAATCACTTCGATAACAATTTATGAGAATTTGTTCTTTTATGTCTTTCAATAAAACTATTTATTTCAAAATAGATACAAAATAAAAATGGGATATGACATGTCGCTAATATTATAAAGAGCAATGTAGCAGCACAAAGCAACGTTTGTTTGATAGTGGACTCGCATAAATAATAATGATAATCGTTGACCATCTTTGAAAGATAATTATTCTTTTGTTTTTTGATTGCTTTTTGTAATCGAACAGTATCTATAAATATTCCACAAACGTCATTAATGATCGACGAGAACATATCTAATCGAACATCATACACCGAAGCACATATTAATTCATATCAATCATTCTCCTCATCTGCAAATAATAAAAGACTTGGAGTCATCGCTGGGGAACTCCGATCAATTAACCAAAATATTATTCATTTAAACAAAATAATGGCTGATCTGAATGCAATAATAAATTAAGCTCATTCGGAGACGACTCAACTAAATTTAGGGATGAATCAATTAAATTCTGGTATGAAACAACTCAATAATAAGATTCTTGAACTGAAAAAAGTCGTAACTATATGCTTAGTATGTGTAATATTTTAGTCGAGTTCTCAAAAATGAATCCTATCTTTTAGATAGTCGGTTCAATAACGTTTGCTGCTAAATTGGTAATACAGAAATAACTAAATTCATTTTCATGTGTTTTTTTACAAGTTTCTTTTCTAGATAACAACATAGTGCAAAAGAATATGTTTGATTTTGATTGATGACTATGAAAGGTATTAGAACACAGATCAAATTTTTATCATTTGTCTTTGAAAAATAGATCTCAAGTATAATAGATGTAAAAGCGAATAAAAATATAAATATGATCTAAAGTAAAGATACCATCGTCGGAGTTAAAATTTGTTGAGCTGAAACTTTTCAGTTATAACTATCACGGGGAGTAGTAAATAACAAACACTTTTGAATAGTCAGCTTTTCAACTTTCTTATAAGAATATCTTAAATAGAAAAAAAATCTACGCTTCATATTTAGACACATGTAAGAAAGACGAATTTTTGAATCTACACATGTCTCTCAGTTATATGAAGGATCGTTCAGTACTTCTTTAATATGTTATATCTGTCTATCATCATGTTGAATAATTTGAAGTGAAATTGTTTCTCGAAAGTTTTCTAATGAAAATAAGTACTCAATAGTTCAAAATAAATTAATGCAGCGTGAGAGTTCACACTGTTTTTAAGACAGTTCATAATTGAAGCATAGTACGAAAATTTACAATGTTTATAGTTTGAGTTACAACTGTCAATCATTTTACTTCAATTAAATCCTTCATTTCTGAGGAGATTTAATTAATTTGTCATTTTTGACAGAATAGATGAAAATAAACGTTTTTTTACACATCGTTTACTTCAGTAAAACGTTATGCGTGATTTTTTTTTGAGTATTTTTCTGTTCAAGTGTATGCAAAATATTACTTCACTTATATATCGTACGTGAACGATGCAATTTATGCTGTGCTATGCCACATTTAGAGTTTGTTTGATATTACCATCTAAGAACAAAATACAGAAAAGACAATCATTTCATTGAAAATAAAGACACGACCCATACTTGATTTCACAGTTAAAGTATTTCTGGAAAAGCTTCATCACAGTATAAAAGGACGAAAATTTTCAGCTCTTTTAACTTAAAATCTAAATTATAAATATCAAATGTAGATATACATTTTTATTACAGTTAATGTGATGCGAAGCATAACATTTATATAGTCCTTCGGGTACACATTCGACCTCCGTACTTTGCATGTTTGTAGTTGTAACAATGTCTCTACTTCGTGTCGTAATGATCTAGAGAACAGCTAATCACTAAAAATTCACTCGAACGTTATTAGAAAGATGAATGTCTCGTGATAATAGAAAAGTTTTTGAATCTTCAATATGAGTCTTCATTCGTCTTCAGTTAGTTCCAAATAATAGCGTTTTCGATGATTCAGTTTCCATCTTTTACTCAAGACAATACAAAGTGCCTTACGATTGAGTTATTTATCTTAATTTAACAATCAAGATTGTTGTTGAAAGTTCTAGCTGTTTCTTGAAGTTTAAATTACTATAAATAGTAATTTAAAATTTATCTGAAGATATTAGATTAGGCTTGTTCGTTTGCTCGTTTCTTTTATTTCAAACCACAAATACAACAAAACATCAAAAAGTACAGAAATGCACACCACCGGTAAGCATGTCAAAAAAATAAAAGCATCTGAACTCTTTTTCATAAAAATAAATTGTTCGTTGTTTTTTTTGAAATATTAATGATTAATTTTGTTGAAATTGATTCGCAACACCAATGAAAAATACTTCAAGATTTTCTAATAATTCTCGAGTTAGACCAGCATTACTAACAATATGTTCAATAGTACTTTGTCGTGCTTTATCTTGATAATTTGCTTGTTCA